GTGGAGTTTACATTTTACAGTGTTAATAAATTAAGATTTTGGAAGTATTTTAAGTGTCCACTCTCACTAATTTCCATGAACTGGCCTCAAGGTATTGCACAGTTGGTATTGCACAGTTGGTACACACATTCAGTACACCAAAAAAAATGTGGTGGGCCAATCTAGTCCAAAATGCCAGGCCCAATTTTTTGTCCCAGTCCACCGCTGGTGTAGCTATAGTTAAGCTGTAGTTAAACTGACAATGCCCATGTGCATGGCAGCTGGATGTTGAAATAGATCGGGTAAAAGTTCAGAATGACTTGGATAATAGCGCGTTGTGACAAACACCAGATACAGCACTGGGACTTGATCAACAGCCGATACGTGACGTCACAAACCAGTAGGTGGCAGTAGTGTTCTTTGACAAACATGGATGCCTCCAGTAAAGCACATTCACATGAAAATTACTCTGAATTAAAAACACTGATCATTTATTGAACAGGATGGAATCATTTCATATTTAAAGAACTTTCAGAGGTTTGAATTCTGAATTTGAGCGCACTTTTCCTTTAACAAATGTTGTGTTTTTAGGTGTCAGCTTTTTGTGAAACAGAGCGTCACACCAGCAGTCAGCCATGGAGGAGGTAGTGTGATGATCTGTGTTGCGTCAGAACCTGCATGACTCGCTGGAACTAACAGAACCAAGACAAGAAAATCCTGAAGATTAACCATTCCTCAGATTGTGACCTTTAACCTGGATGTGATCTAGGGCAGTAATGCTGCCCTAAAACCTAAAAGGAAGGCTTTTTGAGTGGCCTAGTCAAAGTCTGTACTCAGAGCTGATGGAAACAGTGCAGTCTGATCTTAAAAAGATGTTTCCTCTATCCTCTTTTATCTGCAGAACATTTCCTTTCAAAGGATAAACGAAGGTGAAACATCAGGTTAGAAGAGGTGCCTAGATTTAGGTGCTGACCAACCTGAAAAGAACATCTCATCTGAATAATCCCTTATGGTTTCAGCTTTCTGCAAACTGTTGTTATATATCTGCCTGAAATCCAGAGACGGTTCAGAAAAAGTTTGATTCTTAAAAATTATCCGGTGGAAAGAGAATGGAATCTTTCTGCTGTGGATCTTGGCATAAATGAGGCTTTAGCTGCAGATGTTTTCTATCCCAAATTAGAAAATCACTTCATCTGAAACATGGCAGACAAGAGAGCCCTGCAGAGGATAGTGAGGGGAGCTTTTATTACAGCATTAGTTGCTGCTATGTGACCAAGTTGTTCAGTAGGATGAGTTCCCAGAGCAGAGCTGCAGTTTCTCTGCTGTGATAGATTCAACCTTTGACCTCTATTCAGGGAAAGTAGGATAATCTCCAACTGTTTTCACTTTGCTTTGTTTTTAAATTAAGAAATAATAATCAAAATATCTGCCCTTATTTTTTGTGTAATTTTTATGCAGAAGTTCTTTCAGGTGGTGTAGAATCTATAGCAGGTGTTTCTACGCATTCAATTCAATTCAGTATATTTCTATAGCGCCAATTCCCAACACGTCATCTCACGGCACAGAGACAATTCAACCAGATCATCAATACATCAATAGATCAGGATGTTTCTGAAAGTTACAAGATTCTTTAAAATTACTCTGAAAATTATACAGAAATGTTCTGATATTAGAAAATTTAATTTATATTTTTATTACAGTACTTTCAAAAGAGTACTTTAATACTTTAACTTAAATAGATGTTTGACCCAGTAGCTGTGAGTATCAATACTTTTACTCAAGTACTACTGTTGAGTACTTCTTTCACCACAATCTAAGATGCATTATAGTTGGACTGTAAATACTTCTTTTTTTTAGTATTTCTACCTTCTATTTATTTACTTTTGCATTTTGAACTGGATAGAAGTGAAGTGAAGGGAAGCCTGTTGGGTGATTGCCTGGTCCATTTCTATCCCATCGTCTCAGTCATTTCCTGCTGTGGATCCTGCTTTAGGCTGCCCATAGAGTTTAGAAAAAAGGCTAAGAAATATTCCAGCAGCACATCAGGCGGTACTACTGTATGGTGGCTAAAACAAACCAAACAGAAGACTGGTAAATATCTCAGCTCTAATGTAACCCCAGAAGTGAAGTCATTTATGGTAAATCTATTTCAATAATTAGCGTAATTGTAATGGGGACCAGGAGTCCCATTACCCCATAAAATATGATTATTGATTTAGTGTTATGTAGTATTAAGTTGGAACAAATAGTTGGGTTGTTTCAGTTCTTTATTGTAGTTTTGTTTGGACATTTTTATGCATTCTTGTGAAGCAGAAGGACTGGTCCTCCTGCCTGTGGAAAGAAGTGTAACCCATCCATCCATTTCCCTTCACCATTATCCCTGCTGGGGTCACGAGGGCTGCTGGTGCCTATCTCCATCTGTCTACGGGTGAGAGGTGGGGTCCACCCTGGACAGGTCTCCAGTCCATCGCAGGTCAACAGAGACAAACAGGACAAACAATCATCCACATCACAGCTAAGGAGAATTTAGAGAAGCCAATGAACCCAACAGTCATGTTTTTAGACTGTGGGAGGAAGCTGGAGTACCCGGAGAGAACCCATACATGCTCAGGGAGAACATGCAAACTCCCTGCAGAAAGACCCCGGGCCAGGAATGGAACCCAGAACCTTCTTGCTGCAAGGCAGCAGTGCTACCCACTGTGTCACTGTGAACATGAATGTCAATTATTTTTCCTTAGTTTCTGTTAAGTTAAAGTACCGACCTTTTCCTGGTTGGGCTCCTCAGCAGGGCGTGGCAGCAAGAGGCAGCAGTGCTCCAGGTGCGGTTGGAAGGCACTTGGAGCAAACCAAAATGATCAGGAGGGTAGTTTGGATGAGATCAGATTTGTTTAACCCTGTAATGCCAAATGTATCATATTTGATACATACGGTTTCTGAAATGTTTTGCGTCTGACACCTTTTGCAAAATTTAATGGTAAAAACTTTGCTCAAAATCCTATTGTACACAATCAGATATACCTGATAACAGAGGGCAGAAGACTACACAAAAAATAATCTTGACTTATCACATAGTAATAAATTATTAATATCAAAAATGTATTTCTGTTTTTTCTTTTTACATATTTTGTTAAAAGGCCAAATAAGGACTTCAAACCAAAAAAAAGTAATTTTCTTTTTTGTTTTTTTCTTGGATCGGGCTTTAAAGGGTTAATTGTATTGATTTGTATGTATGCAAATATTATTATATTTTATTATTATTATTATTATTTGGGTGTATAGTTTATTGTTTGGTTAAGGTTTGTATGTTTATTAATTTTGCTTATTTTTCTTAACCCTTTATAGGGCGCTCAGTGAAATACTTTGAAAATCCAAATTTCAAGACAATACTGTTATTGGAACCCAGGACAAGACTTTATTACCTTTGGAACATTTAAAAAATGTGGATATTATGATGGCAAAAATTAATGTCAATGCAATACCAACAAACGCCAACTTGGCCGAATATATTAAGAAAAATAACAAAAGTGCTTCTAGAAGAAATTAAAAACACTCAGAGTGAAAGAAACACATTTTCTTTGGTCCAACATAACCTTAGAGGCATTAATGCTGATACTGATGCTTAAGTTTTTTAGTTTATAAACCTAAATGTAATGTTAACTAGGCTTATTAACTGTTTAACTTTACTTTCTAACTTTTCAATGAGCTTTTTACCTTTTTGTCTTGACTTAACTTTTTTCCAACTTAATTTCCAGTAGGTAATTTATCATTCAGGGCTCATCTAATTGGTCAAATGCCAAAATAAGATGTACAGACATGTATCTTTGCTGAATGGCTGGATATAGATCTAGTGCTTCTAGACCTCACTGAGGGAAGGTGTCTTTGTGGGGGGGGGTCCATTTGTAAGTGATCAATAATGCTAACTTGCAGTATAAAGGGTTAATAATCTATTTTCTTGGTTCCTTCCTTCATGTCACCTGAGTTGAATTGGTTTTGTTCGTTCCTTTTAGTGTGAGGTGTTGGTGTGCACGAAGCTGGAGTTCAATAAATCTTCCAAATCGTCAGTCTTGTCTTACCTCTCAGTTAAATATTGGCCCTCCGCTGGTCAGGCTGACAGTAATAACCGAATAACAGAAACATAATTTAGAGCTTTTAACCCTTTATAGGGCAAGCTACCCTTTTTGATCACTAGCATACCCCTTACAAATTGAGTGGCATTTCTTTTACTCTCAGAGTGTTTTTCACAAATTTCTTATAGTTATTTTTCATAATAAAAACAGGCAAGTTGGCATTTCTTGTTATTACATTGACATTTATTTATGCCATCAAAATATACATCTTTTTTTAACGTTACAAAGGTAATAAGGTCTTGTCCTGAATTCCAATAACACTACAAAAATGATCTAAAAATGTGTGAAAATGTCTTAAAGTGTTATTTACCTATAATTTGAGTAGGGAAATAAGAAAATCTCCCAGTTGAAGGAGTATTTTTATCCTTAAAGATTATTTGATATTGTGCACTTGAAATAGGAGACTGCATTTTTCCCCCTTATTTTAAATGTAATTTTTCTTATTCTATTTGCAAAGTATCTCACTTACCTGCTCAGTTCAAGAAAAAATCCACTTATTAATGCACTTATTTTAAGAAAAAACTGACTTACTTAGATTCAGTTTTTTGCAGTGTACTCTTTGCTTGAAATTTAGAAGTTTAAAGTCTTTCACTGAATGCCCTATAAAGGGTTAAAGCAATGTTACTAAACGACGCCGTGGTTTTAGGGTCCAGGGAAACATTCTGCACTTCACTTCTTTCTCTTCATACCTGCTGAAGGCTTTTTGATTTGTTTCTTTCATTTAAAGAAGTGTTTCTACTTTTATCAAAGTGTAGCTAACAGCTCATGAAACATAAAAAGCTGAAAGAACCAAATGTAACAGAAATCAGCTCTGGTCTTGTGGTTGAGGCGTTTATTCTTCACACAAAAAGCAGAAAAATCTCTTATAGAGTTTTTCTTTTCTTTTTTTTTCAAATAAACACAAACAGTTTTTTATCATCAGATTTATTTCAGTGAGCAACACAAACCGAATCATGGATGGTGATTCTTTGGCAAAGGAACTATGATCTTGGTACAAACATTAACAGTGATCACAGTTGATGGATTATACCTCTAAAATGAATGGAGACCATCAGATCTCCCAAAATTAAAAACCTGCTGCTTTGATTCCAGAGAAGAACACACACACATATCCTAACCCTCGCTCCCAATCTTTAAATGTGAAAAAGAGGAAAACAATAGTTTACAAACTAAGACTTTCTCCAGATTCTTGGTCCAACATCATCAGATGTTCAGGAAGCAGTGAAATCATTCCAGTTCATGCATTTCATGGGAATCCTTCCATTAGTTTAAGATAAAAAAAATCTCACATTTGCCCATGAAGCTCACTTAGTTTTAATGACCAGAGTAAGTACAGCCGGTGGATATCCAGTAATTACAGAGGGAGGCATGTTTTGTCTGCAAACCAGAAAAAAAGCTTCCTGTTTCTAAAAAAAATGCACAAAGCTGCAGGCAGTTAAAGTCCCGCTGATTAAAAGACACCCTGAAGGTGAGAAGTGGTTGACAGCAGGAAGGATCATCTGCTGAGGGGGAAGAGCACAGCGGGCTTTCCCAGCAAACTGGTTCCAGCCGTAAAATCAGGGCTGGTCCCTAGAGTTAGAACTAAACTAAAATCATCTGGACCTGATGGAACAGAACCAGTTTCAGGGGTAGATTAACACCATCTAGTCTTGGGTTTGTTGTATTTATGCTGAAGAAGAAAACGCTGTGATAGCATTTTACAACTTCAGATGAAGGTGCATCATAGTGAGCTTCATTTTTTATTGCCCTGTTTGGATGCAGGAGGTTTGCATCAGAAAGCAGGTCTAAATATCTAGAATCAGAAGTTCTAAACTAGAATTAAAAGAGAAAATGAGTCACACTGGGTCAGTGTTCCTCTGCTAAAGCATGGCTGATCAGAGGGAGGCAGGGGGGGCACACTGGAAGACACTTTCTATGTGATGGCGTGACGGCGTTCTGAAGAACCAGCCCGCTCTGTTCCTGGAACCGTTGGCTGGAAAAGCCCTAAAAGTCAGTGTTAGCGGCTGCTTGGTCTCTGCTTCCTCACCGCTCAAAGTTCTGCAGCAGCGGCGAGAGGCATCACAGATCGTAGTTAAACTTGTATTCGTTAGCCAGGTAGATCCTGCGGAAGATGAGGGCGGCCAGAGCGAGGGTGAGAACGAGGATGAGGACCGCGGAGCCTGCGTGGCTCTCGTTGTGGCGAGGAGGCGGGGCGAAGGCAGCCCTGCTGGCTGCTGGCTCTCTGCCGGCTCTGGGAGGCTGCCGGCTGTGCTGCTGAGCTCTGCGCTGTCTGGGGCTGAGTGGACGGGTGGGGCTGCGGTCATCGCGGGTCTGAGGCTCCTCTGCTCCTGCCTGAGGAAGGAGACACAGTGAGAAACAGGTCAGCAGCTTCACCTTTCATGGTCCACCCACAGGTCTGTCCTGGCAGGGACTCAATCCCACTTCTACCAGTAGATCTAGATGGTTTCAGAAAGCACATCTATGGAAATGCAGATTTAGAGCTCCTTCAAGGCCCGGAGTAATATTGGAGAGGAGTTAGAGACCTTTTAGTGCATCTGGTCGATTCTCAAAGGAAACTAGAAAGGCTTTTGACCCGTTTCTCTCCCAGACAGAGCTGGTTTATCTTCTCTAACATAGAAAGTGTTCATGGATCAGTACTTCTGTGTTCCTCTTGAATGTCTGCTTCTGTCTCCTTGAACCCCAGTCAGCCTCAGGAGATGGCCGCTCACACTGAGCCCGGTTCTGCTGGAGGTTTTCCTCTCCACTGTCACTACAAGCATGCTTAGTGTGAGGGATTGCTGAACAGTTGACGAGTTGATGCTATCAGCTGGTTTTCCTTAGATAGAAAACTTTGAATCAATCTGATAGGAGAGTTTCATTGATTTGTAGAAATCATTTGAAGCAACTAAATCAGACTCTTGCCTGCATCTCTGCACAGAACGTTGGAACGTACCGAGGAGTTCCAGGGAAACTGAGGTTAAATTGTTGATCTTCCTCTAGCAGCAGCCTCACCTTCATCACCCATCAATGTTTTATACCATTAACTCCCTAGAATGTTTATAAATCTAGATCTTCCTTTAAAAAGATTTCTGAAGCATAAAAAATAAATGCTTCAGAAATAGGATCTGCTCTCATCACTTCTTCTGTTCCCTCCAGCCTGAAACCTGCTCCTCCCTCTCTGTTGTAGCATCAGCCATCTTTTATGGAGCTGTCTGTTGGAGCAGCGGCTTATCTGTAGCTGAGAGGAAGCGTCTGGATCAGCTGATCAGGAAGAACAGCTCTGTGATTGGATGCCCCCTGGACTCAGTGCAGGAGGTGGAAACAGACAGATCCTAGCTAAATGATCATCTCTGTTGGATAATGTCTCCCAACCCCAATGCATGAAGCTGGTGCTGAACTGGAGAGCTCCTTCAGTGACAG